TTGTTGTTGTTGTTGTTGTTGTTGTTGTTGTTGTTGTTGTTGTTGTTTAGTTTGAGCGGGTTTTGTCGCATAGTCCATCTCTCCGGTGCCCCCCCTTCACTTCCCCTGCGCCGCTTTGTTTGTGGACGTGATGCTGGCTTTGTTGCAAAAACCAGTTGCTCAAGTACTGCTGCCCAACCTTGTAACACCTCAGGGTCGAATACAGCACCTCACGGGCCACCAAAGGAAAAAATGGCGCGCGCGCCATGATGTCAAAAAACATATCGTTGAACAATTTAGCATTATAGAGGGCCCTATCACTAATCAGCATCCAACATTGCGAAGAAGGAACTCAATGCAACAAATCTTTGCAGTTTCTGGACACCCCACATTGGCCCCACATGTTTTCCATGGGTAGCAAACGGAGAAAGAAACAGGCACCCCGCCAGAAGGAACATCCAGAACCCCTGTAAAACCTGGATTTTTAGATCCTTAAGTGGCTTTGCATGACCATCTCCAGTAGAATGAGGTCCTTGACTTGTAGTTTTCCAAGATCCCCTCCACAACCGCCTCGAGACCCAAGGATCTCTCCCGCGAACAACGCGAGAGCGACGAGTGGCCTGGAAACGAGTCATGTGGTGCCGATGAGGCGCCTCTGGCGAAGCTTGGCGGTGGGTCCATTGACACTGTTTCACTGCCCCTACTGGTATGTGTATTCAAAAACACATATATATATATATATACCTGGACCCTCCTGTCGGGGTGTCCTGGCTGGACTACCCCACACTACCTATAGGCTTCCATTGGGCACCCCTTGGAGGGTCCTGGTATAGTTTAGTTTGGAGGAAGATTTGTTCGGACTCCTGGCAGCTGTTTTTTCTCCAAGTTGCTGGAGAAGGGGCTGATGGGTCAATCAGGTTGCCGAGGCCATTGGAGAGTGTTTATGCACCCTTGAGATGCACTTTGGGGTGTTATTCAACCATCAGATCTTGGGAAGGGCATCATGGTTCTAGGACTGAAAGTCATCACAGGCCACTACCACTTAAAACACCTGATAAATTACTGCCCCAGAGGAGGTGATTCAGGGTATGCTTGAACCACCCCGATGTGGTATCCTGATACTCTACGACTCACAATACCATGGAGAATACGACTATGGAAGCGGACGCTTCTCCCGTGTTTGTAGATCATAGAAAAACAATAGCATATATTGATATACGTAAGTGTAAACATATTTATGTGTTTATGTGCACATATGCAACACAGTTTATACGAATACACAGACAGTATGTAGTCAGGCAATCAGTTTTCCCCTAGCCCTCACAGCCATGCCATCCGCGCCACCATGTCCTTCTACTCCACCGCGCCACCGGTTTCGCGTCTCAGGAAGCCTCCACCGAGCCTGATCCTCTCCGCCGCGCGGCCCTTGAGCTTCGCCACCAAGCCGGTACCCGACCTCCGGCCGACGGAGCGGAGCGTGGCGCGGGATGTGTCCCGAACGGGGTGAGGAGGTCTCAAACGGTGTGAGCAGATCGGTTGAGAGGTGGACATGGTTGAGAGACATGATGGGAGCCTGTTGATTTTTTTGGGGGGTCCTTCTGGGATAAGCGTATTAGGCTATAGGGCTGTTCAACCTCTGTAGGTAGGTCGAAAGCAATCAGCCTCAGCCCCTTTTTTGGGGGTCCTCACCGTATGTGGTCTTCACCGTGGTAGAATCTACGAGACACCGGGCTCTGAAGCTGAAGAGACCTGTTGGGAGGCCAAGTATGGCCAAGCGATCTCAACCTGGACCCTCCTGTCGGGGTGTCTTGGCTGGACTACCCCACACTACCGGCCTAGGCTTCCAGACAGGGCATCCCACGGTGTCGGGTCCTGGTACATACTTCAAGATCTTTGACAAACTCGGTTGCACAACTTGTCTTCAGGTTTTCAGGGATGCCATGCGCCAGATCGGTCCGCTAGGTGTCCATCAGTTTTTTGGCTCGACCAAGATGTCCATATCCCAAATTTCGGGCCCTGGACCCTGCAACCGTTTGGATCAAACGACTGCGACTTCAGACCTTTGGACCTAAAGGCAACGCGGGTGCAACCGTTTTGGGTCGCACCGGACAGGCACCGGACATGGGTTCCACAAAACGAAGGTGATTTGCACATGGAGGGCACGATGGATCCTGGGAGATCCTCCAGGTTTGCATTGAGACGATGAAAGGAGCTTTGTTGTTACAGGATGTTATTCTGCGAGGTGATACATCTTCTGTTATTCTTGGATTTGGTTGGATCCTTTTAGTTTGAGACACCTCCTGGTGATGTACATAGCCGGACCTGTAGAAATCTGTTGTCTTGTATCACGAAATTTGGCTTCTATGGCCAAAACGGCCATTCTCAGAACGAAGCGGAGATGCTACGGAAGGGACAAGCCACCCTTCCATTCCAAAATACCCTCGAATTCACCAACGTGAAGGCCAATTCACCATCGGCTTCGTGCCATGGGCACGTAAACCTGAGGTGAGCGCGAAAAGAGGGACCGAGGAACCGATTCGCTTGGCTTTGGAAGAAGAGCTTGGACCGTAGTAGGTGACACACACAGGTAACGGGAAGCAGAAGCACCATTCTTAAGAGCTCAGGTCATGTCGATCCATATATGAGCCATTGGATCACCCTGGATTTGACCCACCCCCAAGCCCCAAGCAATCCACAGCAATTTGCGGCAACAGGTTGCCAATTTGTCAAGTTCCGTAAAAGGTAGGTATAGGATGGTATAGGTGACCCGGTGACCTCATGTTCTGGAAGCAGATACTCAATCCCAATTAGGTTGGAGGCCATCACTATTAGGTTGGAGGCCATCGAGGGCAGCGGTGCACCAGGCCGAGGGAAGCGGCACCGGCCATGCCTCGCCGGCCGTGCTTTTAGCCGCGCTCTTGCAGCGGCTTGGTGCCGGGAACTAGAGGGAAGTGGGTGCTATTGTGGGGACATCAGTGTGGATAACAGAATCTTTTGAAGAATGTCACCCCACTGTATATACATGTTGGAATATGTTATATATGATGTGCGTATGTTCTACACATAAAAACAAATACTATAATAAGACTATTGCATACAAGCAATCTAAACTTTACATCACCTATGTTGAATTAATGCCAGGTGTCGTTCATCATCAGTGTCCCCTGATTAAGCAGCGGAAGCTGAGACTCCATTCTTGGAGCGGTTTTCTGATCTCTCGTACGTGTTTGGTCGCTGCCAGCGTCGCTCTTGCGGCAGCATCCCGATGGTTGCTGATGACAACCTCACTGGTTGTCCAAGAGGTCAAGTTGCGGCAGGCTTATGACGCTTATGCCGGTGTCACTAGGTGTTTTCACTGTTGCTGTGTTGGAGTTTCAACCCTCACACTCTCCTGTAGATTAGTGCCCTTGTGGCCCTTCAAAGGCAAACAGTGTTTTTGTTTACAGTGTTTTTGTTTCTCAACGTTTCTGTTCTGCAGCACTCATCTCCTCGCGTATGACCAAGGCTGAATCCAGATCAGCTTGCACATGACCATGCCAAAGTTTTCCCTGCACAGGCCGGAATTCCCTGATTCGTTCTGCAGGGAGAAAGAAACTGGTGAAAAGCGGTGAGAAACAAGGAAAGTCATCCCAAAGATGCAGATACGGCTTGGATACGTGATTCTTCAAATCCTGCGGAAGTTTACTGACTGTGCATGTTTCTTGTAACTATTACATCCCTTTTGGCGGTTGCATGCCATAATTGCTCATGAACATGCCCGGTAAAGGTGTTTGATTCGTGCAATGCAACTGTGACGCTGTGGTGTCTCCAAACAACAAGCTCTCCTCCAGCGCACCCAAACAAGTTGGCTGGTTCCGTCCAGTAGGCTTTCCACGGTCAGAAAGCCTTCAATCATTGCCCAGTGGTAGAAATATACCCATCGCCAAGTGGTAGAAATACGCCTGGTGACCAGCCCAGTAGAGCAGAAACAGTTTCTCAACCCTTTCTGGAAATTGGATGCTATTTCTACCTTTCTTGGGGAGCTTACCTACCAGTGAGACCAGAGTGATAAATTAATCCCAAGAAACATCGGTGGCATGTGCTTGCAGTAGTCTGGCTTCGAACATTAGCTGCCAGATTCATGTGCGTCCACGCGCCAGGCAGCTCCGGCCAGTCCATGGTCCAGCCCTTTGCAGCCCTTGGGCGTAAAGGGGCGATACTGAGTCGAGCATCCAATGGAAACTCCTGAAGCTATAGTGATCCCCAATAGATAGATGGAAGCGATTTCCAATACATGTGTAGCGGGGATCTTCTTTTGGTTGCGTTTCTATCAAATTGGGGGTCTATCCACGTAGTCGTAGTTGGGATTCGGGGCCACAATTCTGGACAATATTTGGATTTGTGTTCATGGCTTGCATGATAGAAGTGGATTGCACGCACGATAGAATATTCCTCCTGGAGCCCCCAAAAAGAATCGAACTTACGTTTCCCCAAACAGCAATTTCCTATGAAAAGGATCTCAATTGCCATATTGCAACAACCATTTGTTTCTGGTTGTTTGGGTTTCCAGGCTCTTCTATTTCATCTTTCCGGTGGGTCACCATATAGTTCACAACCCTACTGTCCAGTTATTTGTTCTATATATATATAATATATAGAGAGTTACTTCATGATACTTGACGTGCCTGTTCTCACTTCAACCCTCCTTGACATTGTTGATTGACCTGAAGAGTTCGAGTCCAACCCTGAACCCTGAACTCTGGAATCCCTCAACATGGGGAATGTTTGCCCGTTTCACCTGTGGTGATCAATGGTTTGGAGTGCCAGGTTGGACACATTTTGAGACATTTCCCAAGCTTGGATACAGCCCGTGCTGGAACAGCCAAGCCCAGATCTAGAGATTCTTCATGTAAAATGATTGGGACTAGAGATTTGAAAATCAAATCATCCAAACTTGCTGAAGACCCCTTAACAATTGGTAAATACCTCTTTTGTATTCCTATGTAGTCACTCGTTACGTCATGCTCGCCTTTGAACACTTACGTCATTCTCGCACCGGACCATCAGTGTCGCGGGCCCTCGGTCGGTCGAGGCCGCTCTTGAGACTCCTTTGTCATTTGCTCACCTCCCCACGATTGGCACGGCCCCAAGTTCAACCAGCGCATCGAGATGTGGCACAAGTTTGATGAAAAAGACCTGAAGATCAATGTGTTGCAGTTGAAGTTGGTGGTTGATTCACTTTCATCCATGTGTTGGGTGTCAATTTCATGTCCTGTTTCGACCGGGTCCATGTGTTTCACCTCTCGGGGGCTCTCGGGGTCTGGGCCGGCAGCTGAGCGTCCGGATCACCGTGGCCTGGCAAATCATCATCGAATCAGAAACTCGGTCTTTTCCAAAGGATCCGAACCGGGTGGTCTTCCATGTCTTCCGGGTGATTCTTTCTTCTAAATCCGGATAAGATGATGTTGAACTCAGTCTGTTCCCCCTGTCTTCCATGATCCTAACGTGGTCTTGTGGCTGAGTGGCTGGGTGCCAGTCTGTCATCAGATGCCTCATAAACCTCCGTTTGTCTCAGTGGAGTCCAAAATGAGTCCTCAAGCTTGGCCTCAGTATTGGGTTCGTGAAGTAGCTCTATAAGTGGTTTTTGGATGCCAAACATCAAGGAGCTGAATGGCCCTACACCAGAGGCATTTTCACAAGCATTTGAGGCACTTTATGTCTGGAACTGAGGACCAGACACAAGTCATCAGTTGGGATTTGTGCCAAATGCATGGCTCGGGCCTAGTGTTTGTTTTTGCCCATAGGGATCCACAGACCTTCTCAGGCACGTGAACCCTGCAAGCCCAGCAGGCAAGTGTTTTTACCTTCTCACAGGGTATGCGGATCATTGTGGATCCATAGGGATGAATTTGAAGCCACATTAGTTCAATGTGAGCTCATTAGTTCGCCACAGGCTGGCTTCGCCTTGGATGAGAAGGATACCTCGGAGGCACGGAACTGCCGTCGCAGGGGCAACTGGTAAAACAATGTGATGTGTTTCTTCTAATCAGAGCTGGGGTCCAACGTGAATTGCATAGGAAACATTTACCAGGCATGAGGTTCATGAGGCATTGAGGAATACATTTGGGTATCAGGAATACCTGGCTCGTCAGGGAGCGAAGTGAACCTTATTATCAAACATAAACAGAAACATCGAAACGGTGTCCACTATATGTTTAGTGGGGATCCATTGTTCTACTGTATCTATTTGGGGGTGTATATATAGCTGTATGACATTGTATCACGATGTCACAACAGATCGCAATTTCGGCTAACTGCGGTTTGCTTGTCGTCGACTCTTACTTTTGCCTGTGGGCATTTACAGGGTTTGTAAGGAAGGGTGTCCTTCCCAGTGTATTTGACAGTTTGTATATCCATCATGTTTCATAAAGAACACATCTACCACTTTGCATCAATTTGCCAACAGTTTCCCGCATTTCTTGCCAAGCTTTGATTGGCTAGTTAAACAGGGTCGCTTGCACAATTGTACTTTAACTAAATATGAAAGACACATCAAACACTTGAAGAAGCAATTTCAAGAGTCAACACAAGGCAGGTGTGTACACAT